CCTTGGGGGTAATATGGCTTCCACTGGTTGTTAAAGCAAAGGCTTAAAACTGTTTTACCTGCAGATGCGCGCACCATTCCCGTCCTCACCGCGGTACAAAGGTATTTTTTCAAACGTCAAGCCATCATCCTGGAATGAAGAAATCGTAGAAAATGCAAGTCTATAAAAATTGAAAATTACTTCTAGACTAAAATCTTATTGTTTAATTTCAACGTTCTATCCCCAAGATCTATGTGCAAAACACTCTGATATCAACTAAACTGTGTCACGAACAAATTTACTTGATTTTCCCATAAGAGGCTCTGCAACATTCAAATAATGCTTCCTCATTGGTGGTTAATTGGCAATCAGTTTCCCCCTTTTATTCTCTGTGTAAAGGTGTGACAGAGTTATACTCCCTATATACTACGGTGAAGACTGGTATCCCTCTGTTTCTCTTAAAAACCATGTGATTCCCCCAAAATCTTCCGAATTCATCCCCCCTTGCCACGTGCACACCCCAGACGATAGATACTGACTGAGCCGTAATCTGCCACGTGCACACCCTAGACGATAGATACTGACTGAGCCGTAACCGAACGCGTTGAACTTGAAATCAACTCTGCACCCATGGTATATGCATGATGGTTTCTAAACGTTGTTAAGAGCGTGTTTCACGAGAAGACCGGGCAGAACCGGATAGGGGCGATAAATCTCAAATCACCGATTTGGCTCAAACTTGGCACAAGTGCTAAGTATCAAGAAATTTCCCAGAGAGTATCGTTTAAACATAAACGAGGAGAGAATCTTTGAATAGCGCACGTTGAGCCCTTTTTGAGAGCTTTTTTGCAGCCATATTTGGATTATTTTGATTTTAGGGTTGGTAAAGAGGACCTGTAGGGACTTAAAGGATGTTGACACCATGAGGGCAATTTATATATTGTAGTCTCGTGAGATCCTTATTGGAATATTCATGTGAAACTTGGAACCCTAATACTAAACGTAACATTGATAATTTGGAGGCTGTTCAGCGAAGAGCTACCAGATGGGTCACTAGGTCTGATGATGATTATGGTACTAGGCTATCTAAATTGATATTGTTGCTATTATCTGATAGGAGGTTCATTAAGGATGTTACGTTTTTGTTCAATGTAATTAATGGCCATTATGACATAGACATTTCCAATAAGCTCATACTTTGTAAGGACAGAAGCAGGGTTTATAATTTTAGGAAAAATGACACACAGGACCTTGTCCCAAATTTTAGTAGAACTAACGGTCTTAAATATAGTTTTTTTTTTTAACCGTATCGTTGTTGAATGGAATAGCTTATCTAATCACATTAGAGAATCGGATAGTATTGAACTCTAAACTTTTAAAAGGAATGTTTTTGAATATTTTTTTGAATATTGAAACTTTGAAACTTTTAAAAGGAATGTTTTAAGTTTTATTAAGGATAAGGATAATTAGGGCATCTATTTTCATATTTCTTTATAGTTTTTCTATACTTTAATTAGAGGGGGCATCCCTTGTATGGTGCGTCAGCGCTTTTGGTTGTCCCCTTCTCCACAATTTTTCCTTTTATGGTTTTTTTTTTAACCTTAATTGTAATTTATATTATTTGTTGTGTATTCTAGTGGAGTGAATCTGTAATAGATAAATTAATAAATAAAAATAAATTATTCTCGAGGAAACGCAGCAGTTGATGGTGAACATCAAGAGCGCATGTAGTCGAATTTTCTGACAAAAGAAATCTGGGGAGAAACTTGATACTACATGCATGTCTCTGTGGTGCCTCAGTTGCAACTTTTGGATTGATATCATTTGTTAGATAACATTATGTCAACAATGTACCAGATTCGAGTTGCTTCCGCGTTGCCTTGTTGAAATGGTAAACGCAGACAGAGCTCTTGGAAAGAGCCATCAAAATGATTGGTCTTTTAATAAGTGCAGCTTGGCAGCGTTAGAAAGTTTAAATTCTCATAGACTGTACTGAGGAATTTTACCGTGTGTAAGTAATATGAGTTATCTAATTTTATATCTATCTATCTATCTATCTATCTATCTATCTCCATCTATCTCCATCTATCTATCTATCTCCATCTATCTATTCATCTATGTATCTATGTATCTATGTATCTATTTATCTATGTATGTATCTATCTACCTATCTATATATTTATCTATGTATCTATCTATCTATTTATCTATCTATCTATCTATCTAACTATCTATTTATGTATCTATCTATTTATCTATCTATCTATCTATCTATCTATATCTATCAATCAATCCCGATCTTGACTTCAGAGAACAATCAGTTTTTTGGATGGAATAGAAGGAGGTCAGTCGTCGCAAAGGGGAATACCGTAATAAGGAAAATTGTTTACCAATTAACTGCTAGCGACGGAAAATCCTAATAATGCAGCATAGCATAATGGTGGGATTAGGTAGATATTATGGTTATTATTGTCCAAAATCGCCCAACCCCTCTCCCTTGGCGGTAAATAATGATTGGTCCCCAAACAATTACCATCAAGAATTTTCCTATTCCATTACTGTTGTGGTACTTTGCACTTGCTAGTATCAAATAAAACTGTTAGACAGGATTTCTCTCTGAGGGGATATTTGACATAATTAAAAAATACTCACTGAAGTGGAGGTGAACTAGCTAATCACGATCAGGGGGCGCGAAAAGCACCATTCACTGGTGTGATGTATGCTAAACTAGACGCATAGCTGCGTGAACTCGGGCTTTAAATATCGCACGTCTGGAGTATTTTGCCTTCACTGCTCAACCGGACACATAAAGAGTTAATATTTGGGCGGGTTGGCCAGCCAAGCCACCGTTTATTTAACGCCAAGTCGATATGATGACAGAAGCATATTACAAATGAAGTAAACTAAATGCACCAAAGCCGGACACGAAAACCCCTAAAAACCAGTAGGTGGAAAAAACGGAGAACGTGTACCCCCGACCAAGGCAGAGGTGCCACCCTTGGGGTTTTAGGGTATCCTGTAAATGACATTTTACATAGTTACTTAAGGTACTATGCAAGTACCGCTCTAAATTTATACAAAAGACGAAAACGAAAACGAAAACGAACAGCTACGCCCGGTGAAGGCTGACCGTAGAATGTCTTGCTCTACTAACGACCTCTGCTTACAAACCAAGATCCCATAACTCTCTGCGTACCTCGAGCCACCCCCAGTCCTCCGATACGTGCCGGCAAAATATCAATTTATGCTAATTAGGATTACCACAAATTAAATTACCTTTAGGGGGCTGCATATTGCCATTGTGACTGTCGTCACGCAATTTCGTCATTGCCGGTCATGAATAAGTTTACTTGTGTTTATTTTTTTTTTTGCTGGAGTGTAATGAATGTTGTTCGGTATGCTTGGACGAATACGCTCATAAAAAAATATTCCTTCAGTTTTCTGTCCTTTCTTCTGAGACGTTTCAGAGTAGCTTCTGGTATACTACTGGGTTCTCGATCACGTCTAAATACATGGTTTTATTACCCAATTACACTTCGTAGGGTACAAATAACGCCATAGACGAGTACAAATATCACGCGGTATTTGTACTGTAGAGTAACGGTTAAACAGGTTTTCTCGCATCGCGCAAGCGAAGAATTGAATTGTAGTTACGAAAAAAAAGATGGCGGACAATTTGAATGATAGTTCTGACGACGAAGAGTCAGAATGGCTGGCAAATATATATCCAAGTTTATTAGAGGAATCGAACGAAGAAAAACAGCTAGACGAAGTACCACCGAAATATTGAACTATAATATCATGGCTTTCCATTTTGTGTATTTTCGTACTACAAAGTAAAGTTTTTCCCTCGTCATTTTCACCTTTTCCCGAGCGGGTCCGTCAAAATTAAGAAGGCGTTCGTGGTCAAAACAAGACCGAGCAAGGAGTCTTGGGCGATTTCTCTCTTACGCAAGCGCAAATTGAAAATGTACCGCCAAAATCAAAGAGAGGAACAAATTTCCTTTGTTTTGATATGTAAATTGTCGAACAAGGAGCAGATTGAACCTCGTCAAATGGCTAGTCAAAACAGCCACACCTTCCTCCTTTTGCTCGTTTCCTGTTTTATAAGCGTGAAAGCAGTGGGAGAAGAATCGGGTAGCTCGGAAAGGGCTTCACCATCGTTTACTTACGAGATAAACAAGTAAGATTTGTAAAGTTATTTTCCGAAAGAGTCGGAATAAATACATTTTTTTCAGGTTAGATTGCTGTTTTACCCTAAACGTCGTCCAATAAATTTTTGATGCAGCCTACTAATCTGTGCAATTTCGAAGGAAAATATTCAGATGCTTCACCGTCCCCGAAGGGGGTTCTGTCCTGGTGTACCGGTTCACAAGGGAATTACCATTGTTCTTTCTTTGTTTAGGAGTTATCGGTTAGCTATTGTGTATTGTTTGGTCTTTTGTATTGGCTCTTGTGAACCGGTACACGAGGACAGAACCCCGAAGGGTCTCCACTCATCGAAGCGTGTACTGTAGCCAATGTAGTGAATTTTCAGTCTCTTGTTGGGTTTGTCAACCTCCGTGACTTCAATATCATACAATTTTGTATCTTTTCTCTGTGAAATGACCTTTTTAACAGGGGTGTATGCTGAGTATTCGTTGCAGAATCGCTTTGGTTCTCTTATCTCTCTCTTTGGCTTGTCCGCCATTTTGAAAATTTGCTCAGGAGGGCATCTGGGTTAGCGGCCACGCCAGGCTGGAACCGACAAAAACAAATGTCCATCGCAGTGGGGAAACAGTTTGATATGATTTCAATTACATCAAAGAGAAAAAAAACTAAGCCATGTTCACTTAAACACACTCCCTAAACAATTATACCTAAAAAATTTTTTAACTTAACCCACGTCTCTTATCCTGCTTAGTGCTCTAATTTGTTGTCCTTGTGAAAAATACTGAGCTAACTTAGCTCATTTCGTGACACATCCAATAATTTATGCGTTGCGTGACAGGCCGATACGATGTGACTTCCTCAAAAGCACTTCAGCTTGAAAAATCCTTCTCATAGAGATACATCATCATTTTTACATCATGGACTTTTAACTGCAGTTGTTCCTCCATCACTTTTTTCGTTAGTTCAGTCCAGCTTTCGTCATGAAAGGACACGAAAACAAAATCGTTGTTGATGAATTCACATGCACGCTTGAATTGATACAACAGATGAGCTTCATAAAAACCAGGGTCATCTGCATAAATCACCGCTTGCCAATCTAAGAACTTCGCTGTTGGCAAATAAGTTCCAAAACTAAACGATTGTGGTATGGAATCGTCGGCGCAATCTTCGGCAAAAAGTTCGTTTCTATCTTCCAAAACATGATCGATATTCGATCGGAGAGGTTCGAAAGGACACCAATTCACAACCATGACATCTCGGGGAAATAGTTTTGCTCTTCCGGTGCTAGAAAGAATAATATCGGAGAAATATTCACGCGAGCAGGATTTTATCTCGATCGCTTTTTTCATGGACGCTAATGCCTGTCTGCAGTGTTTCGTCTCAACCTCATATGCAACAAAATTCCATTCCTGGAGTTTTCTATGATACTGAAAATTCACATTCTCGTTGGTAGAAGTAAATCGCACTCGTTTTAGGTTAGGAAAGCGCTGTCTGGCATGGTTCCTTGCATATTCCCTGAGCTTTCTGTTAATGCCCTGGCCTCGAAGTTCTTGATGAATACGTTCTGCGCGACGAACATATGTTTGCTGGTCATCTACGATGAAATATGCCAACAACCCAATGAGTTTGTTGTCGCTTGAATGAGCCAGAATGACTGCCATATTGTCTTTCTGAAGCCACTTGTGAAACTTCAGCGGTAGATAGTCGTGTCCTCCATAGATTCCTTCAGAAAGTTCAATGATTTCATCGAAGTCGTAAGGTTCAGCCAAGCGGAATGTTATGGCGTCCATTGTAGAGATGAGGTACACACGCAAATCTTGGATTAATTACGCATAAATTCCGTAATACCCCGGTAGCTATGAATACCTGAATGTTTCAGCATGACTGGAGACTGATGCCGAAATAAAGTCACGAGAGGGAGGTCACGCTAGCTTGGTGGCTCTAAGTAGTAGTAGTAGTAGTAGAAACTTTATTAAAGTGTCAAAAACCGTCTAGCCAGAGAACAAATCCCCTACTAATTTGGGGACACCAATTAGGGGAGAATATACAAACTAAATACAGTAGTAGATAAAATATCTATAGTTAACTTATTAAGAGATTTATAGTAAAAACACACAGAAGTCAAAATGAACAAAGGCTACAGCCTGCGCAGCCATCATCTAAAAGTTCACTTATATTGAGTTGGCGTATCTTGCTTTTAAACGACGTTAGGGTTGTGACGTCCCTGATACTCTTGGGTAGTTTTGTCCATAGCTTAGGCCCTAAATATCTAATAGAGTGCTTGCCATAGGTGACTGTCTCATACCTAGGTATAGAGAAATCTGCTTGCCGCAGATTGTAATTACTATTTGGTTCTTTAAAGATGTTACTTATATATGCAGGGCACAGTTTATGTTTTACTTTATACATAAGTATGCACAGATCCTGTAAGCGACTATTTAGTAGTGTTGGCAGATCTGCCTTCTCTAATAGTTGTTCATAACTAGAATTATTATCCTTGAAAACCGCTCTAAGTCCTCTTTCTTGTAGTCTTTCAAGCTTTCGAGTGTCACTCGCTTTACAAAAATGCCACACTAGGTGACAGTACGTGAGGAATGGTAATATCGCGCTTTTGAATAATATTAACTTAGATTTCATAGGAATTAAATTACGTAGTCTGACGGCGTTTTTAAAGCGTATGACGCTTTTTGGTAAAGTTAGTAAGCAACAGTAATAGTAATAGTAATCAAAGTTTAATGTCTTTACGTGGGGCATGGTTACCCATATTGCCCGAGCCAGAGGCTCATGTATGAAAGGCAAGACAACAACCCACCCATACCGCCCTAGGGGAGGACATCCATCACACAGTAACCTCGTGCGTGGGAAATTAACGTCTCCTACCCCTAACCAGGAGACGGCACCTCCATTTATTCGTCCCTATCCAAGAAGACTAGAATATCTAAACCATTACTTGATGTTATAGAAAGGCAGCATATTCTTCTCGATTATTTTAAGACCTTGAGTGTTGGTCCAGCCGGGGCTCGAACACTCGACCTCCCGCACATCAGTCCAGCGCTCTATCCATTGAGCTAACTGGGAGGCGGTTAATGGTTAAAAACAGAAGGGTAAATCAATAAGGCATTCGTACATCAATGAGCTTTGTGTTTTAAAAGTCCTAAGTTTTTCTTTTCCCTGATTTTGTTTGCAGATGTCTACGAATGAATCAATTTTTCTTCACTCATTTTGCATGGCAGAGGTTGTCCCTAACAATTTCTTATGGCACGCGGTCGGCCAGGTGCAGGAATGATCTCCTCGCGCATTCCCGGCGTTTAACCGTATCAGTGAGTTGGCCTAGTCGCCCCGCGATAAACTTCCTTTACCAAGGCTTCATTTCTCGCGAGATTTTTTCGGTGGTTTTAAGAATTGAAAAACATAGAATATATAAATAAAAGATAAAATTGAAAGTGACGTTACTGTGGGCACAGTTTTGATACTCACCTTCTCCGTAATAAATTTCAATTTTTTTGTATTTCATAATTCATTCAACATTGGCATCAAAATTGGGAAGAAGAGAGTAAGTAAATGCAGAATGCAGTGGAATAAATAATGCAAATCTCTAGAGAACGGGATCATAAATTTTCCTGACATGATTAATTCATCAAATTCCGCCTACAGTTGAGAAATGAAATGGACTGTAGCTGCAGACAAAAGCTCCTTCAGAGAACTTGACAACTCCATCGAATGCGCCAAGCGCACCAAGGCGGAATGCTCAAAACAGCATTTTCTGTTTCTCACGATAATTTAAGGCTACGGGTGGTTTACTCGCAACTCTTTACCGGTTTGAATTTCAACACAGAATATTTAGCGAATATTCTCGAAAAGCCACAACTCGAATTGAGCAATGATCTGAATTATAAACATACACCTTGAAAATGTACCATGTCAGACTTTGAGTTTTTTCCCTCGGCCTGCCAGATTTATGAATGTTCACTATTGTAAGTGAATGTGGCGAGAACATTTGTATTCTGTTCGATGGGCAAGTGTAGTTTTAGCCAAGGAGAAAATTGAGTCAGATTGATATCTAGAAGAGGATTTAGGTAGTTGTTGTACTGTTGCTAACTGTCTGTGGTAAGTTTTTCATAGAGGCGCTAATGTATTTTAACGACGTCCTTTCGAAAAGCAAAATAAGATTTCAAGTTATGTTTGGGAAGACACTATACGGACAATAACACATTTAAGAGCGAAACCTTTCTCAGTCCGTGAAAGAAACAATAACAAAGATGAATTTTAACGACCTTCGGTACGTGAGGAAAGAAAAATACAAAAATAACGTTTCATCAATAACGATGAAACTGAATATTTTAGCTAGCTTCAGCTGGCGACATGCAATTCATCATTTATTTATTGGGTATTCAACGCCACTTCATTTATGCAATTACTGAAAATTCTTTCCCAACAACAAAATAAATTAGAAATCTGAACTGAAAGCTTTCTCTCGCGGTGCTTTCGTTGCAAATTGCTAATGCTGAAGGAAGGACGAAAAAAAGTTTTCCTTTTGAATAAATAATGTCATCTATGCTAACATACGGTAACCATAAAAGTATGACAACAAGTAAATATTTTCTTATTGAAATTCCTAAACAGTAGCTTGAGTTGAACCCAAACAATATTTGTCTTCTGCAAGCTGATGAAAACCGCAAAATTCGTTTGACGTCGAACAGTAATCGTGTTACAATCACAACATGAAGTTAACCCTACAAGCCTGAATAGAAGTGCAGTTCAGTAGAAAATTTAACAGTAAGGAGGTATTGAAACACATGAATAACTTTGCATGTCGGAAAACAAAAGTAAGACGGAAAAAAACAAAAACTTTTTTTTTTACTGATGCATTTGCTATGACCTTTGTAAATCTAAATTTAAGCTAAGTTTAAGTCTCTATAAAGAAGACTGAGACTGTTTTGGCATTCGGTTAATCGGATCTGAGTCGTAACAATTTCAGTTATAATAATTGTCTAGTTCTAGTGTTTTTGTTACATATTTCTTCACGCTTAATTTCATTGCAGAATAAAAGCTTTTTCTAGATTTCAGTGACGTTCTGTTGCACTAAATCCAACTCGTATATATTTAATTTCCTATCGCTAATATTATCAGACACTTTCAGATGCATTTTGTCTTCCATCAAACTCCTTCCCTGAGCGCTTAAACTTTCACCCATTACTGATGAAACGAAGATGAAACGAGTTTTGATAGATTTGCAAGCAAGTCTGAATTGAAACATCAAATGTTCTTTGTACAGGCTCGCGTCTCTACTGTAGATGTAGGTTGTCCAGTGGATATACTCAACTCTTTGAGCGATACCGCCGAAGCTGAACGATTTGGGCGAGGAGTTGGCTGTATTCTTCTCTGTACAAAATGTGAGATTCTCAAACTCTTGCACGATGTGTTCAAAGTTTGAACTACAAGGTTCAACGGGAACTCGGTCGTACAGAAGAATATTGTCTGGAAACAATTTTTCTACCAAGTGACTAGAAAACAAAACATTTGAAATGTAATCTTTAGTACAAGTGACAATCTCAGTTGATTCTTCATTCCATGTTTGAGATTCACGGTATTCTTCCTCTTCGATGTCATAGGACAAGACATCAAACTGGAGAATTTTCTTCAATTTCAAACTCTCACTAAACTTGCTATATTTTGACACGAAACGCATTCGCTCAACAGTTGGGAAACTAAAGCGTACGTATTCATCCAGTGCATCGGAGAGCTTTTGACTGATTCCTTGCTTGCGGAACTCTGGAAGGACGCGCCCAGCTCTTCTAATGTACGTTTTCCCGTCATCGATGATATAAGCGGCTCTTGAACCAACTACTCTGTTACCGAAAAGAACCAACATGATTGCCATGTTTTCCATCTTCATCCACTTGTGAAATTCAATGGGAAGATAGTCGTGCCCTTCATAAATTCCTTTGGATAAACTTACAATTTCATCAAAATCACTTAGCCTCGCCAGGCGAAAACTGAGCTCTTCCATATCAAGTTCGTTTGGCGTGACTAAGATACTTCAAAAGTTCGGGCAATAAATATTTTTCCAAGAGTAGAACCCTGTGGCATTTCTAACGATTGGGCCAACGAAAGACCACAAGAGGTAAACAATAGCCTTTTACTGATTTGCTGTTCAAAGGGACTGTTGTTACCGAGACAAAACGGTGAAAATTTTTGTTTGAATTTTAAACATTATTGACTTTGCAATGTTATGATGCTATGCAGTTTTTGCGCGGTTGGTGTGAAGTAAGCGGGCTTTGAAAGATCTTTCCAAAATTCACATTTCTTTCTTTCTTTTTTTTTTTCTTCTTTACCTTCGTATGTGTGTTTGTGTGCAGAAATGACCAGGTTTGCTATGGGCAATGACAACTCTGAGAACCATCTTGGTTTGGCTCACTCTCGCGATATACATTCCGGTTTTAATGAACTAAAGTTCTCGTTTGCTTTTTATATTGTCAGTATGTTTACACTTCAAAACTTCATTCTTATTGTGGTAAGTTCAAACTATCATATTTTCCACGACTAGAATAGCGTTTAATAAGTTAACGAAAACGTACTGTATTTTCTCTTGCTAAACGAAAAATTTATGAATAAAAATGAGCTCCCAAGTAAAATTTGTGTTGGGCGTTAACGTTTGCGAGCGAATTTAAGGTGCATCGCGATGGAAGACCGTCAATACTTTAACTGTAAGAGAGATGTTTGGAAAACTTACTCATTTGAGAGATATATAAAGTTAGCGAAAGTATTTGAAATAAAAGCTTTCTTCTTCAAAAGATTAAGATCAGTAAACAAGCCCCTTAGCGAAAGCCATTCTTATATGAAAATACATCTCTAAACTTATAAAAGTGGTTTGTTCAATTTTCTAGAAATACACTTTGAAAACCTGGCTAGGATAATCGGAAGGGATTTCAAAATATTGAAAAATAGGTGTTGACATCAGATATGCTTTTGTTTTTCGCTTTCCTCGGTACAGTGTTACTACGATGTCATCATGATTTATGGTATATAAGCCTTTAAATTATGTCAAACGCAGTGGATGGAAGAACTTTTACAAGGTCTAACAAAGAGACAAAAGGGTACAGAAAGGTAACTTTCAGAGAGCTGTAAAATGATTGTTATCGCGTTCTCGAGAAAGGAAGTTTTCCACAGACGTGAATTATTCAAGTCCGCATAGCGAGGTGGGGATGAGCTCTGAAGAGTATTCTAAGCTTCCCTGAAGATTCTATCTGTACTCAGTGTTTTATTGATGGACATTTTAAATTTTAAGATAAGGCGATATTTAAATCTTAGATTTTGTTTTGCTTTTGAATGTGTTTGATTGTAGATTCTTGCCAAACGCTTTCGAAGCGTAATTTAAGCACAATTTAAATAGCAAAATCCAAAATAAGATCAGTCAGATTTTTTCAGGTCTTTTTTATCCAATGTATTGAAACTGTTTTTCACGCCAATAGAGCAGGAAACTATATTTTCAAGTTCGATTTTCTCCCTCTTTCTCTTTGTCTATTTATCTGACCCTTGGCTAGATGCGTTTATCATAATTCATAGATGTACACAATGCAAAATTCATAAGTCTTCATTTGAATACATTCGAGAGATTGTGACGCTTTACGGATAATATCGATCACCTTTCTTTATTATTAATGCGAAACGTCTTCTATAATTCATTTCTATCGAGAAAAAAATATATATTTATCGATTCGTCTAAGTGCCAAACATTAATAGCAAAGACGTTTTTGTGATAAATCTCCCGGCAATGACGAGAAGGGGGGAGGAGGCAGTCGGTGTATCTCTGGTCATTGGTTTTAGCTTTTCTACTCACTTCCACCGGGTAGGGCAGGCTATCAAAACCCGTGGGATTACAAACATCAGGGATATTTGATCTCGTAAAGGGTATATTCTAAAGGAAAATGAATCACCGCTGGATGAAACCTTTGTATGATATGTTCATTCATTTTTAAGATGATGTCCAAGCTCATTTGTTTTCTTGCTGGCTATAGCTTGATTATGCAAGATACGGGTTAATTAAGTACTAGTCATTATTTTTTAATTATCGCCAGGGAGGGGAGGGGTCAGAGAATTTTGGGTGCGATCATATGATTTTTTAGGGAGAACAGAGGGTGGATCAATGGTCATCAAAAGAGTATAGAGAGGACACTAAAAAAACGTACTTGACAATGAGAGGGATCGTAAGAGTCTAGCGGGGTNCCCCCCCAGCATAAATACTGACTGGTGCCTTACCTATATGCTACTACAGTAGCATATAGGTTACAAGAAGCTTTTTGTTGCTGTTCCGTTCAACATCTTCAAGATATCAATCAAGAGAGCAACAATTTGAACGTTCAAGCACTAGAAACATCAAGGAACGAAAGAAATGAAATGAGCCGGTTTATGGGTTGTAACTGGTGCTACTACTTCTTAGATTTAAATTTGAAATGTGGCCTCAGGTTCGGGGCCTCGGGTCTAGGGGTTAGTTCATTGGTTAATGTGCGGTGTTCTTTGGCGAGACGCTTAACGATCCAAAACATCTCCGGCTCGCAACCAGCGGAGTCAAATTTAGTACCCTACGGCCGGTTGAGGCTTAACACAAAAATGTTCATGTCTTGTTCAATGATGGCGCTTTACTGTTGGTGACTCACAAATCAAGTTATTGGATTAGCTAGCCGTACTGAAATATAAAACTGCACGACTGGGAAACTTGTTTCTAGTAGTAGAATTTCGGCACAACCATCGCACAACCTTTACTCATGCCTAATCCCACTGCTTATTGTAAAAAGCAGTGAAAACCCTTTCGCAGCTGTTTTTCGTGCCGAAAAGTGCGAAATGCACGGATCCTCGCTCTCGCACCTTATTTCGGCACCAGTTTACACTCATGGGAACGTTAATAGATCAACAATCACTTGTGATCCTGAAAATCATCTCAGTCTATAATAAACGCCATTACATTCCACCTCAGGCAGAGCCTCACGACCAAATGAATCAGCGTTATTGTATTTTTAAAGGCTAACCAAATTGCACGAGCCCTTGGATTAAGTGCAATTTGTAGTCTTTGAATAATTTGCGAGTGCTGATTCATTCCAAATGTTGCGAGAAAAATAACGTGATTATTTGTTATCATTACATGACTCGGGCAGTCAGAGGGCCAATAACTAAAATCAACCAATCAAAATGCTCTATTGCCGGTCCGATATTCTCTAAGTATTGGACCGGGCACTGTCCCGAATGGTCCCGAATGGTCCCGAATGGTCCCGAATGATACCACACTTGTGTCCCTTTGAACTTCAGTCGTATAATAAATCTCTTATTAACCAAGCTTGCTCGGGACCGTACTGGAAGAATATCGGTCCTCGGTCCTTTTTGTACGGACCTCGTTGCGCTCGGTCCGTACTGTCAAGACCTCGGGTCGATATTCTCCCAGACGGCCCTCGCGCTTGGTTAATAATATATATTTAATATACATGCAAAAAGAGAAAATTTAGTATTTCTGAGCAACCAACTTTTTGAATTTTGACAACTATTAGCAACTTTTTGGCATTCCAGCGAGCAACTTTCCAGCATTGGGACAGGGCTCGCAATAGGCGTATAAGAGGGATGGGACGAGCGACGAGAGCCCTCGTAGACAGCAGACTTCACGCAAGCTCGCTTCCCTCTTGAAACCTGTGGGCCTCGCCGCTCGTGTCACAGGGAGAGCCGCATGACGTTCCGAGCGTTAGTTTGTCGTCATATCCGCTCCGATAAAGGGTTCGAATCGTCAGCTTTAGAAAGTATCAGCTAATTTGAAAATGCTAAATTATCTTATAATACCCTGGACTGGAAAGCATCTGAGGGGTTGAATGTCGTGTGTATCTGCGTGTCATTAGCATAGAAATGATACCTCATACCGTGACGTTTGATGACATCTGCGATCGGGGCTGTGTACGTAGAGTACAAAATCGGTTCTAACACAGAACCCTGTGGAACACCCGTAGGCCAGCTTCTGCTTAGATGAACAATCATTCGCCACTCTGACATATTGGAACCGATTTGAAAGATATGAGCGCATCCAGGCCAGTACATTTCCCTTTATCCCTTTATTTCCTTATCAACTAAATGTCGAACCATTCTCGAGGCACTTGAGGAGCATCAAATTATCTCTCACATATATTCGTCGTTCTCCAAGGCAAGGTTACAGCCGACAAATCACGTGTTGATTAGCTCTCAAAGCCTAAGAGCAGGCTCTTACCTCTATCAAGGCCTCGAGATTTTAGCCAGCAGACAAAGTAACTGTGCGATAGGTTGTGCGAGAGGCCTGGGAAGAAAGACGAGAGCCTCGCTCGCACTTTACGCAGACTTGCATCACTTACCGTCTCTAGATACGCAGCCCTAGATTGCTCGTGTCTCGGCGCTATTAAGAACATTCTCGTAGACTAATGGTCACGCACTGTTGTGCGTAATGTAAATTACCCCGGTATCCCAAGCGAATAGACTGCAAACGCAGACAAAAAAGTCCTTTACTCAGCTTGTTGTGATCAAAAGAAATTTTACAAATCGTCTGTGGCTTAGCGTGGTCAGGACTCTTATCGACAAAGAAGTTTACCATGGTGGATAGAGCATTCATCCATCCTCAAATTTTCCTCATGCGGCGGTACAATTTGAATTTAGAGAAGCGACTAAGAGATACTGCTGTTGTATTCGATAACGTATTTAAATTGACAGAGCAAAAAAAAAAAAAACACCAAATATAGAATAGGAGCTGGATCACTTTCATTCATCTTGCAGCTGAAAATTGAAGGGTCGTCATACTCAGTCTGTGTTAATCTTCGCTTTGTGTACCCAGTCTTGTTGTATTTCGGATAATTGTCTTTATTTCATACATGCACAGATTTACACTGTGAAATACTATCGTTTCTGTTTTAACGAACGATATCGTTTCAGTCGCTCGCTTTCAATCTTTAAAATGTGTCGGTCAGTGAGAAAAAAATCTCAGTATGTATGAAATAAAAACATCATACTATGGAAAGAATTGCGCTCACTTGTTATTTTATTATTTATTTATTTATTTACTTTTTGATGCATCGCACTTTGTGAATAAAAATCGTTCGTGCGCACTTTCCATGGAATAACCCCTATTTCTTGTTTGGTGTTTGAGAAAAAAAATTTACGACTTCTATCTATTTCAGGGTAATTTTCCACAAACAAAGGGCGACTTTCCCTTCGAATACAGAAGTTAGAGTTACCCCACACCGTAGCATTAAGGTGAGGTGGAAGAGAAAGGAGACATAGGACCCTCTTTCTCGATATTCTATGTGTTAATGTAAATTACGGTGAAGACAAAATATGAAATGGATTACCCAATTCAGGCCCAGAAGATTATTAATTAGCCTGGTTAGCCCCTACGATTCAAATGCAAAAGACGCTCACACTTTGAAAGCAAACCCAGGGAAGGTAAGATGAGCAGGCGCAGTGGAAGTGTTGTCCAAAGATGGCGGACGAGGCTGTGACTTTGGCCACAACAAGTCTACGTTTCCTTACTTTTTGAAACAGACTGCATAGGGATCAGTCATTATTGACCACTGAGGGAGGAAGGGGGAGGGGAAAGTCGGGAGATCGAGGGTCAAAGGGGGGGAACAGAGGGGGGATCAGAAATATGGCTC